TCATGTTTCTACCGGAGATCCTGTGCCCCACACCCCTTCCTCGCTCTCTAATACTGTTCCTGGACCTCCTCCCCTTCACTTCCCTATTTTCACAGGAAATCATAGAATCATAGAATCATGCTGAGGAATTAAACTGTGTGTCAAATATTTATTGCCCAGCTGAGAACTGGAAGAGAAACATGTGATTCTACCTGAATAACACTCTGTAAGTGTCTCTATAATTCTTAAAGTCAAAAGTTGCTTCTTTTGTGAACAGTTTATGTCTACAATTCAAGTAGCAAGTAAGATACATTGCTAGTAAAATGCACAGTGCTGTGTCATCTGCTGGTTAAGTCACACAGTGCAACTTTGCTGTCATGGCTAATTTACAGATAACTTTGTTATTATGATCCTGGAAGTGGAACAGAGAACAATAGCTGACCTAACCTGCCCAATAAAAGTAATCTTCCACCAAAGGTTATGGCAAAATCAAAAGACTCATGCCCATTTGTGGCCAAAGGGAAATTTAGACCCAGGTCCTTCAGAAGTGCAAGGATACTTTTCACTAACAATAGTGATTAGCACCTTCGTGACACCATTTTATTGCTTAGCCATGTGTTGGTACGTGTGAACACAGATAGACAAAGTCATATAATTTTACTGGACAATGTGAAAACCCATTTACAAATGTTACTGCAGTTCACCATTACCTGCATTCACAGTCCAGAGATCTTCCATTGTTGTGCATAACAACTGGGAGAAATTTCTGGCTATGGTCAATGTAGAGGTTGCAGTCTTCCACCAACAGGTGTTCTTTCCTAATTGCTTCCATTAGTTTCTCTTTATTGCAGGCTTCATCGCCCAGTGAATATAGTGCTTCAGCAGATACCAGATCAGATCTATCAGCTCCAGTGTGACATGCTAATCAATGTGCACTCACAGAGTTCAAACTTAGTGACCTACTTTAGTCAAATGTACTTTTATTTCCCAATACAGTAATTGTTATAATAAATGCAATATTTTAAATAAAACACTATTGGTGCCGAATTTGTGGCAAATACAAATACTTGCCAACATCTGTATCAGAAATGGTGCAGCCAGTAGAACTAGGGAAGTGATTGTGCCCCAGCACTCAGCACTGATGAGACCTCACCTCAAATACTGTGTTCAGTTTTGGACCCCTCACTACAAGAAAGATATTGAGTTCCTGGAGTGAGTCCAAAGAGGGGCAACAAAGCTGGAGAAGGGTCACGAGGAGAGGCTGAGGGAATTGATGTTGTTCAGTCTCCAGAAAAGGAGACATGGGAAGACCTTATTGCTCTTTGCAACTACCTGAAAGGAGGGTGTAGCGAGGTGGGTGTTGGTCTCTTCTCCCAAGTAACAGTGATAGGACAAGGGGAAATGGTCTCAAGATGTGCCAAGGGAGTTTTAGATAGGAAAAATTTCTTCACTGAAATGGTTGTCAATCACTGAGACAGCACTCCTGGTAGTATTTGAATGATGTGTAAATATGGTGATTATAGCCTTGTCAGTGTTAGGTGTATGGTAGAGCTCAATGATCTTAAGGGTCTTTTCTCACCTAAAAATTCTCTCACCATAGATTCTATGATTCTGTGATTTGTAAATATAATGATAAGAGAAGACCTGATTCCCACTGGAAGGAGAGAAACTTCTGACCTTTGTAATCTCACTGCACCATAAAGGTTGATTTATTCTACATCAGGAACCTTCTTGTTCATCAAATCTTTGCCTGCTTTGAATCAGAATCATAGTAATTTTACCAAAGAGTGCATTTTGATTCCTCTTCCTTTTCATGCTTACTGAAGTATTAGCAGACGTATCATGCAAACTGGATTTTTGCTTGCATCATTCATTGTGAACTTTTTTTGCTTTTTTTTTGTTTGTGGTTTTGCTTGAGCATTTTATTTTTTATTTTATCTTTTTATTTTATTTTATTTTATTTTATTTTATTTTTGTGGCACTGCACAGAGATAAACGAAGAACAGAATACTCTTTCAGGCCTTTTTGTGTGTGTGTTGATACTCAAGTCAGAAAGGATAAAATCTTTTTTTTTCAGATCTGAATTCGTTTTTGCAAAAATTACATTTGAAAATAACAACAAAAGATCAGTGTCTTCTTACTTAGGAACTGAAGAAATTCAGTTGAGAATTCTGAAAGACAAAACCCCCAGAAAACTATTGTATGTCTTTCTCTAGGAGTTTGGTTTGATCCAAACCACAACTACATAATTCCATAGCTGCAAGTAATTGCTCCGGAAGTCCCTTTCTGCTAAGGTATTACTTTAAAAATATTCTTCAGTGCCAACTTGCTGTTAAAAGCCTTTTTTTTTAGTGCTAACCATTGTTCCTTCAAAGGTAGATGTCTCTAAAAGCACTGATTTTTGTTTCTGAAATAAATTGTTCTCTACCATTGTCTTTTTGCATTCATTCTCTCCCTGTTTCTCTATTTCTCCATGTTAACACAGAAGCTGATAATAATGTATGACACTTATGAGCAGAAGGTTTCGGAAGGGAAAAGTGTAAATACAAGAAATGCAGAGCCCTGTGTCTAGAACTGCACACTGGTTTTCTAAATTCTGCAGGCTTTAACTTTGTTCTGCTCTTTTCACATTCTCCAAAATGGACAGGTTCATTGGTTTTATCTGTTGTTTACTTTACCCTTCTCTTCCCTTTATTGCTTCCTCAAAGTGCGAAACTGTTCCTCAAGGTTTCCTCTTGAATGTTTCAGCACTGACTGCAAGTGGAGAGAATCATGCAGCTGCTAACCTGAACTTAGAGGCAATTACCAATACAGCTAATAGTGATTGAAGCCTGCAAGTGGAAACAAGACTAATAGACAACATAACCATGAAAACAGCAGCCAGTCTCTGTTTCACAAACATTTTATTAGGATAAACCAAATTTTTTATGGATCAGGTTACTCTGGGCCAAATACTGCTTTTTTGGCAAACTCCCAGCTGACCATCCATTGGCACACTTACGGCTCTTGTGCCTGGACCAGACTCTGCTGCTGGGAGAATTCTCTGCACCAAAACCAACCAGAAAATAGCTTTTTCAGTCAATGTCATTTTGCCTTTTTGCTCTAAAGGTCAAATTACAGAATGAAAGACCTTTCAGATCTCTCATTTTTTTCAGCTAGTGTACATAGAAGTGCCCCCAAATCCTCATCAGCTGATGCCTTTCCCTGCTACCTGATGCAAACATGGTATCTCATTCATCATGCTACCACTGCACCTGTACATTTTTGACCATGTTGCTTGTACCTCAGCATCTCACAACTGCCTTGGCTAAATGCTTAGCCAAGTGAAAGGCCAAATTTTGGCCTGGAGGATTCATAAAACACAGTTCATGACTATGTTTTCCTTCTACCTGCAGTGAATTCAAATAATCCCTGTTTTCTGTTAGTCTCCCAGAAGAAATGTAAATATCAGCATCATGATATGGATTTGTAACATTTTTTTACACTCGCACTCACACATACACACATGCACAATTTCTCTTTCCTTTGTTTTTGGGCATGCTTCCAACAGAACAATATGTGTCACTGAAATCTAGAGCCATTTGCTTAATCCTACCTTCTGGCACTCTCACCTGTGAGTCACAGACACCGTTACAGATGGGATAGACAGATCCTCCAGAGTGCAAACCACTGTTTCAAACTTGCTCTTCCTTAAGATAGCTAACAGAGACAAGGATTTTCTAGCAAAAGAAAGTTAGGTGTTAAAATACTCATAATTAGAAAATAGGGGGGTTGTACACATTTTGGAGGATGATTTTGGTAAAATGTTGCACTGTGACCTTTTCCAGTCCACAGTATTTCTATTTTTGGTACCAAAACCAGCTTTTCAAAAACCAGTCTTCATTTCAGCTAGTGAAATCAATTATTCATAGACTTTTATTGCATAACAAAGTTGCCTAGCTGTGTTTGGGCCCAGTGCCTCTGCTCTCACATCTCAGTTTTTGTTTATTTGCTTCTGCAGATCTGCGTTCCTTAGAAGAAGCACATTTTGAGACCAAACTGTTATTTACTACAAAGAGTTAAAACAGCAAACAAAGCCAACCTAGGACGTAGCATAACAGCTTAGGAAGTAGCATACCATGCTGCTCTTTTCAGTTCAAAAGAAAGGGGGATTTGTTACATAAAGGATCCTTTTGTGGGAGTCTGCTGGCTTGCATGGGTATAGACTGGGTGAATATAAGGTGGTTTGGGGCAGCATTCAGAGGAGGAGTTGATGCTGGTTTGAAGTCAATGGACTACCTGTTGGGACGGGATGGGTGACACCTCCTCTCTCCACTGGCAGTCTTGCCGGCACGGCTACGAATTTGCCCATTTTATGCCAGAAGCCATGATCTCATATTTGTTAGGTATTGGAAGCAGTCAAAGTCAAAAACACTCCTATGGTTTTGAGGACGCGAGGATATTATTCTACTGCTACGCTACAGCTAGTTATGCTGTGCTGCTCTCACTTACTACCTCCTGTGCCGCCACCTGCCAGACCCAGCCCGCCTCATCCGAACGCCGTCTGGCATTGCTGGAGCGTGAGGGGCACGGCCTCCCCGTGAAGGTGGAGTATGTTGGCACCGCAGGCCAACAACCCTTCATTCTTCAATATGGCTGGCGCCCAGGGTCAGCGCAGGAGAAGGTTTTTTTCTGGTCCAAGTAGCTCAAACAAAAGCCAATTACTGCACATACTACGAGCCTAACAGTGCTCCCTGGGAGCAACTCTGTGGCTGTGTGGCAGCTACCTGCAGATCCCCAGCACACTGTTGGATCAGAAAATGTCATGTTCACCTGGCGGGTTAAGAATCTAGATACTCAGCCTGTCTTAAGGTATGGTGTAGATGGAAAGCCCTTTTGTTCAAACTGCAGAACTGCTTCCATGATGTTTACATTCACCTCCTTATTTTCAGTCTTTACAGCTGGTAACAAGCAGTTCAACAGGTCTGATGGTTGTTTTTTATTCCTTTTCTAGGACAAACCTGGTGCTCCCCCTCCACTTACAGGGTCAAACTGCAGTGTTGAGGCATGGAAGGGCCCAGGCATGCACTGACGTGGAAGAATAGCGCAGGCAACGGCACGGCAGCTTGTGGCGTTATGGTATGTAGCCCATACAACAGCAGAGAGGCAGATTGTCTGGCTTGAGCAGAGCCTCTTCTGCTGAGGTGCGCTACCACTGGCTCACTGAAGTGGGGACCTGTAGTCTGGGCCCACTCCCCTGTTCACCCCATTACTCGCCACTGTGGCCACAGTCCAGATGGACACTGCGTTCCGCATGCTGGAGATGAGGCTTTGTTCCCGCTGTCAGTGCTGTGGAGCCCATTTTTCTGAGGAAGCAGCTTTCGGATATTTGGGGTTGTGCCAGGCCCTGATAATCCAGAAAATCCTGAATTTAAGTGTGTTCCTTAAAAATAGTGCTCCCTATGCCTTTCTGTCCAAAGCTCCACATGCTGCCCTAGGAGTAATGGCACCTTGTTTGGCAGAGGTTTTTGTAGGTTCATGTGTGGCTTTTGTTTTAAAATGTATTAATTTATTATAATGTAAAATCATCTGCCTGGGGGATGTAGGATGTTGTTGGACTACAACCAAGTATTGGCTTGTAGCCTTCTAAACCAGAGTGCTAAGAAATAAATCCTAAATAGAAATGGATGAATGGTTTATGTTGAAAATATATTCAACAGACATTAGCCTTCTTTTCTAGGGGTTTTCCTCAAAAAGGTTGATGACTTCTAGATTTGTTCAGCACATGGAATACTGTATGCTGATACTAAAACCAGCAAAAGTTGTTTGCTTAATTGCAAATTATTTGAAATGGTCTTCCTCTCTTTGGGCCCTCCATGGTCTTCTAATTACATTGCATTATTCCTTCTCTCTGATTAGATGAGTGAAAAATTCAGAAACAAAAAAGACATTAATTACAACTAGTTTTCTTTAAATGTTATCTTATTGCCAGTATTATTATATATAAAGAACAGACCAAAGAATGTGAGTAGGGAAAACACACTGAAAATCCATTGTAAAATTATTAACTTGAGTATAATACAAGCAGTACATTCTTTTCCTTCTGAATGATTTTGAAATGCACTTCTTACACCTTGAAGCAATTCCTGTACATTTTATTTCTTATTCTACTAATCTATTAACACTGATTTCCTAAGGTCTTACAAAAACTAGCTATAAAGATTCCCCTAAGGTTAAGATTTAAAGATGCATAATGTTTCAACAGGCAATGCATTATTCTGGAGTAAGATTGTGATATGAGCTGTGATAGTTATTTCCTCTCATATGTTCATTAACAGAATTTGTCAGACTTTTTAGCATGTTTGGTGAATTATAGTGACACTTTTTTTTGGTTCAGTTGCTGCCGAATGAAGTGTAGGTGTGTATAACGTTATATTACTGATGATTAATTTGCACATTTGTAACATCTGCAGATCAATGAGGAGAGAGTACCATTGTGCTACCCCCTTTACAAACACAAAAACTGATTTTTGACATCACAGAGTTTATAGTACTGCAGCACTTCTGCAATTGGTGGTATTTAAGGCAGCTTGCTGCGTCCACTGGCACTTCATTGACCTTAAAAGAGATCCTTATGGGAATGGCAGTCTTCTCATATTCTGCCAGTTATAAAGTTGGGAGAAAAAGACAGAGGGAAGAGACATAATGTGCAAACAAGATTGATGGACACAAATTAACCCAAGCCAGCCCTGTGCAATATGACGTATTCAAATCTACATTTGATGTTTTTCACATTGACTCATCCTTTTTCAAACTGAAACTAGGGTAGGATGGTGTGAAGGATTAGTTAAAAGAATTCACTTTGACCGTAATTGAATTATAGAACGATCATATTCATGGTTACAGGAGTACCTTGTTTTCAATTGGAAGCTATTAGACGGAATTCACAATTAAGGCTTTGGAAAGATAACCACAGAGTACTGGGTTGAAAGTTCTGATATTGTCTCAAAAAAATTAGAGATTTGACAAAGAACAGCATTACTCTCTTCTTATCAGTACTCAATATGCTTGGGGAAAAGCTTCTGTCTAAATCCAGAAATCTGCCATGCTGTGCTCCTGTAATTTCATCTTTACAATTAGTTTTAACAGTGTCGGCAGAAGAATGCCAGTTGACAATTACTAAGCAGAGGGAGAGGACCCTATTTTTTACACAAACATTTTTATTTTTTCATTTCCTCACTTACCCACAGTATTTGTCTCTTTCCATCATCTGTTTTGTCTCTTCAGAAAGCCAGGCTGTAAGCTGTCTGTGGCAGGCACCCATTTTTCATTATTTGTGCAGGTAGGTACTCAAATATAAATAAATACCAAAAAAGGTCTTTTTCACTCCTCAGACAATAAAACATTTAGTATAAGTGATGATACTAATGCTTGAGTGTGAACATGTGTGATGGTGTTGGCTGGGATAAAGATAATTTTCTTCATAGGAGCTAGTATGAGTCTATGTTTTGGATTTGTGATGAAAACCGTGTTGATAATACAGGAATGTTTTCATTACTGCTGAGAAGTGCTTATACAGAGTCAAGGCCTTTTCTGCTCCTTATGTCACCCCAACAGCAAGTAGTGCGCAAGGAGCTGGGAAGGGACACAGGGGGACAGCTGACCCCAACTGACCCCAGGGATATCCCATACCATAAGGTGTCATGCTCAGTATATAAAGCTGGGGGAAGAAGAAGGAAAGGGAGGGGAGGACATTCATAATGACGTTTGTCTTCCCAAGTAACCATTAGTGTGTGGTGGAGCCCTGCTTTCTTGGAGATGGCTGAACACCTGCCTTCCCATGGGAAATGGTGACTGAATTACTTGTTTTGCTCCACTTGCATGCACAGCTTTTGCTTTACTTGTCTATATCTCAACCCACGATTTTCCTCACTTTTACCCTTCTGAATCTCTTCCCCATTCCACTGGAGGGAAGTGACATGTTACACTGAGGTTCCAGCTACCTCAGTGTAGAAACCTGTGAAGAAACTACTACAGACTTTATACATGCAAAACTTAAAATATCCCCCACCAAGCTCGCTGTTGTGGATTGTCTAGGAGGAAAAAACCCCACCACAAACAAATGAAAACCTCCCAAAAGAAGGGCTGTCATCATTAGTAACAATAATGGTAACAGCATAGTTACCTGCATGTTTGACTACCCTAGAAGGGATTTATAGCTTTATGTTTGACTACCTCAAAGATCTTTAAATTTAGGTTGGTAACCAAAAATATTTTGATTGTAAACTTGATCTTTTGAGATGCTATAAGAAGGCACTAAATTCATATAGTTAACGTAAATAAGTAAACCAGACAACTGTGTAAGAAAACTTAGGTAAAACAGATTTCAGAGATATTGAGATTACAGGCTGTTAACACTGTCTTAATCACTGTTAAAATCTGTAATCTCATTAACATTAAAGAACTGGAACCAAACCAGACACAACTGAAAAGTGATTCAAGAAAGATAACTTTTTACTATAGCCTCCAGTACTGCTGTGAAATATAAGACAGAACAAAGGAGAGCTAGAACATTTCAGAGGAGGTTGATGAAATGAAAGCTGTGATGAAATATCTCCTGCCCTCCTTTCCAGCACTTACAATTGAAGATTTTACATTTACTCCAAACTAATATTTGTTAAGAGTCTTCTGTCATGGGGGCCGTGGGGTGTATCCAAATGATGCATAACAATAGTAATGAAATCAGAGAAGACAGAATGGTACAGCTCATATTTTTCTCCATTGTTAAAACTCCTGTGCGTTTGGTCAATGATTTTTATATCAAATTTCTGGTTTAGTGCCTGGATGTTGTTTATGTCAAAATTTCATAGGAAGTTAGAAGCTCAGAATCAGCACTTTTCTGCTTCTGTTTTTGTCCAGTTTAGAATGAACTGGTGAGCTTATCTAGTTTGTATGCTTTAGTTATTGTTCTTTTTGCAGACAGAATTGTAAGATTTTTGATGAAGATAACATAATTAGGTGGGTTTAAACCTTTTTGTCACCCATGATACTTTCACAAGATTTTGAAGATTCAATATTTATAAAACAAAAAGGGGAAGCATTCTATCTGATGCAAACAGTCCTAATGCACAGACTCAGGAGAAACCCTAGATATGGCAATTCAGCATAAAGCAAAGCAATTATTTTTACTTTGTAACAGTCTGTGTATGTTACAAGCAGCATCTTGCAAAAAGTTAGGATGAGAAGGTGAGCAGATCCTCCTTTGTCAACACTATGCAGAAATAAACTCAAACTAAAGAATAAATTACAGATACATAAATGATATCTGTTTACAGCAAGAGATATGACATGGAAAACTCTCTCCAGGATGTGGGCTTTAAGTCTTTCAGTGCTGTGAAGTCAAGGTATGCTGGCCATGACTCAGGGCTAGAGCTGTTATGTTGGATAGAAAGAAATAATTTTGCCCTTGTTTCAGTTTCTGTGATTGGTCTAGTGTAGATCTAGTGTGTAGTTCTGTTTAGAGTGTGCTATGATAATGTAATCTAGAACATGCAAAGGGACGGATGATAGCTGACAATTGTCTCTGGAAGATACAGTTAGTATCTATCTGTAAATATATGCTTCTAAATGGGGAAAAACCCAACTGACCTGTGCACAGCAGCTAACTGATTTTCAAAGAAGAGGGAGAAGAGGCTTTCATGGGACAGCCCCAGATGGGACCTTTAATCAGTCATTCCAAGAATATTCTAGGTCTACAGTAGAAATGGTGGAAAAACTGCAAAGGTAATATAATCAGCAGGTAGAATGACAGGACTTCATGGGGAGGGTTAGCAAAACCTACTCTTGGATTTAAAAGAAGGATGGACACATGACTGTTCTGTAAAGAAAATGAGACTAGTAAGCAACACAGTATATGCAATCTCCTGCCTTAACAGCAGACTGAATATAGTCCTAAGCTTTTGTCTCTCTGAGTTGGTTATCAAAATAGCAGATGCTGCTAAATTTGCCTTTGTGATACTTTTTCAATAATGTTCAGTTTACAGCTATCTGAAGAATACATGGCTGCGTGTACAGGGGAACAAAACCAGGGCTCTTGCTCTTTCCTGAGACACACAATGACTCATCCTTCAATAGATGCAAAAGGAAAACCAGATTCCCAACATCAGGTGGTTTGGTCCAGTGAACGCACAGTGGTAAGCTCTTACAACTCCAAAACTATATGACACCTGAGGTTTGGTGCAGCTTTGCTCTAAATCAGGGAGGTAATAACCGCTCTCACTCATAGCACCAGGGTGCCTATGCAGTTTCTGTTGCACTGTGGCCCATAGGAAGGCTGATGTTATCCTTTCTTCCTTGAGTCTGTCTGGACTATGTATCACTGCTTCTGAGTCAGTTGCGGCTTCTGAAGTTGTGGATGTTGTCCTTTTTGCACAAGCAGTGGAAAGCTTATGTTCATTAATCTGACACTGCTGGGTTCAGTCTCTGTAGCTGGGGTGCCATTATACCACAACTGTATCTTCCAGTAGGACAGATGGGCAATATCAACAATAGCTCTTTGAAAACAATTAAGAAGCATTTTTGATCAGAGGCCAGTGTGCCCACCATCATGGTAAAGTAGTCGGTCTGTCTTGGGTGAAGATGGAAAAAATAATTCCTGAACAGAATGGTTCCTGTATTTGGATGTATTAAAAGCAAATCATGCATTTTTGAAAACTGGAAGTGGGCACTATTCAGGCAGTGCTCTCCCATTTTCACATGCCATGTGGACTCCGGTATAAAAAAAAGAAAGAAAAAAATAATAATGCATATGTGTGGTAATAATCTGCACATGACTGGTTGCTGTAATGTGCACTGCTGTACTGCCAGCAGGGAAGTGAGTGATTGCCTCTCGCCTACACAATGGACGCTGCCTTTGCCTCACATGGTTTTTCAGCAGGAGAGCAAACAAGAGGGGGGGAAATAAGGAATGAAAAGCATTGCCTGACCCCACTGCATCACAACCCTTGTGGCTTGATTAAGTAGTCAATAAGAAGGTTTTTTTGCTTTTAAAAATTTTGTGGGTGGGCTACTGTGCCCAGGGAACTTGCTGAGCAAGAGATGGAAAGCAACTACCTGCCTTTTCCTTTGACCTCTGTGTCTTTTAGCCTGGGTGGAGAGACATATGCCATGGGAGCTGTGTTCACTGGGAAAGTTTTCACTTGTTTTGCTAGTCTGGTGGCTCATCCGGAGCAGTTTGATATTCAAATGAATCTGTCAGGAACAAGAGTATGGTGCTTCAGTTCTTGCTCGGGCCTGATGACATTGATTTGTGAGCATACTGCTTGACTACGGGATGTGTGACAGATAAATTTTATCAAAATTAAGGCACAATTAAACATTTCATCTTCCTAATTACTGGCTGTAGATTCAGCCTGATGACCATGTGCTGTAAGAAATCAGCGACCATTACACATTTTAATGGAGCACAGCTGTCTTACAGCTTGGTAATATTTGCACAGTGCCACAGAACTGTAATTTATGATAAAAAGAAAAAATGTGTATTGGCTCTTTTTTGCCAAAATAGATTAAGGATTCATATACTTTAATGAGATTTGGACCTAGCCTTGGATTATCGTTATAAATGATTTATGTGCATGTTGGTGGACTCCTGTAGTTTTGAGTTGATTTGTGTTTTGGTCGACCGATATGTAATTCAGTATTTCCTTGTGTGCCAGTATTTGCATTCTTTCCCCCGTTCCATTTCAGTTCTATTTTTCCTCCATAACTTAGAGAGAAGGGCAAGTCGGAATGTTAAGAAAGCATTGAGACATATTTTCCAGGAGCCTCCCTCGCAGCAATGCCCACTCCCAAAATCCACCCCTTGCATCCTGGCTCCACATCCTGAGCACAGAGAGGGCAGGATAGAGGGAAAGGGGGAGAGGTGGGTTGCACCAAACTGGATCAGGGTCAGTTCTGCAGCCTGGAAAGCAGGGAACAGGGGAACAGATTCTACCTGAACCCCTGATCATGCAGAGACCTGCTCTAACATTGCTCTGTCTCAAGGCAGAGTATCAAAAAATCTTCCTCCTGCCTGTTTAAATCATGACTTGACTTACAAAAGGGTGCTTGTTTCCCCATTTGATATTTTTCCTGTTCCAGTCAGTTTTTTCCAGAAAATGTGCTGCTGCTCTAAAGGAAAAAAAAAAAAACAAAAAACCCAAATGCCACCAACATACATAAACAAGTTATCATTTTCGGAACCACCAAAAACCACTTCTCCATTATTTCCTTCAGTAGTTTCACAGAATAATTAGTGTGTGGAGTAGGGGAAATGATGACAATAAAAGTAAGTGTTTCATATAT